GGATTACGAATGTCATTTAACATGTTGATTTTAGACCAGTGTTATGAGGACCGGTGGGTAATGCGGTATTGGTGTACTGCCAATATGTCTACTTGTTGGACAATGACGGTTCCGGATGAGCCACACACACACACAGGAGCATGAGGGCACCTGCACCACCCACCATTTACTATTCAATTTCTTCCAGAAAAGCAGGAACCGTTCCCATCAAGCCCCCAACACGCCCCCTCACCCCCCCCCCCCCTGGTTCCTCCGTGTGTAATCGGTCCTGGTGCATTCCAGGACAGCCCCGTAACTGGTAGGCGGGTCAATGAAGCCACGGGTGGCCAAGGTGTGTGTGTTGTCGCTGTTAAACGGGATGGGAAGAGAAGGGGATGTAATTAAATGTGTGGATTTAGAATGATCACGCCCAGTCAGAGGTGACCTGAACGCCTGCTGAGATGTGATCTAACCTTTAAGCGCCAGTGTAGATGATATTGTACTGTGTATGTTTATATACTCGAACATGTGCACGCGTGTATGTGTGGGTAGCGGGGAACGGTGGCGCAGTGGTTAGCGCGCTGCGCTAAGAATCCCGGGCGACTCTGGTTTGATTGCCGCTCATGGCCACCACAGGTGATGATTATCTGAACCGGTCCTGGGCCTCCCCAGGTCGACTCAGCCTCAAATGAATACCTAGTGCGGTGTATAATAAATATAGCCACTAGGAATACAAAGGCGGCCGGGCGTGGTGCTGGCCACCCACCCCCTCGTGTGCCGTGCCGACCTTCATAGGTGTTCGCTAACAGCACTTGCCCCACTAGTCTGATGAAAGCTATACAGGGGGTCTTTGTCTTTGTAGCGGTAGAGTGTGGTGTAGAGTGTGGTGGTGAGACGGGAGTGTGGCAGGGAGCGGTGGCGCAGTGGTTAGCGCACCGCACTATGAATTCGACGACCCAAGTTGGATTCTCCCTCACAGCCACGACCAGTCATCAATATCATTCTGTAAACGTTGCACAGGGGTGATGTATGTGTGTGTACACAGAGATCTCAGCAACCCGGGTTCAATTATTGACCACGATGCATATCATGATGCCTGATCATTGGTATCTAAACCGGGTCTACGCCTACAACACATTCCTGCGGAGGGAGCTGGTAGGAACGTTGGGTTGCTCGGTCAATGGCCAGGGTCAACGGCGGAGTGGTGTATTCCGCAAATATGCCCGACTGTGAGGGCGGGCACAAGCCGGCGTGAGTAGGTCAAACGTTGAGTTTTATAAGGGCACCACGGGGTGACCAGCCCCTCCCCACCCAGCCCCACCCCTCCCACCACCCACCCAGCCCCACCCTCTCACCCAGCCCCTCCCCACCCTCCCCACCCAGCCCCTCCCTCCCCACCCAGCCCCTCCCTCCCCACCCAGCCCCTCCCTGCACGACGGACGGACGGACACAATAATCCCCTGTGGGCTGGTGTAACCAGGAGGTTCCTACCAGTATAATGAATTTTATATGGTCAGATATCATAATAAAATGTGCGTTATAAACCCCCCCACCCACCCAACCCGACATAGCCAATTAATAAAGTTGCCACGTGAACAAACATACGATCCACATCGTTTAACAATTTGGTGCGACGTTTCGCCGGTGATTAAAACCATCGCCACCATTAATTTGCCAGAAATCCGCGTCTCCCAACCATTTGTTAACGAAAACGAGCTCCCCGTGATGTCGTGTGGCCAACATCTCCACCGAGGAAACAAAGGTGGAGTGGTGGCTGGTGGGCTAAGTGACCTTGGAAATTGCACCTGCTTATTATTGGACGAGGGCTGCAATCTCATCGCAAGCGAGGAGTGGGGGGCGAAGACAACTTGCCCCCCCCCCCCTCCACACCGAATGTTAATCGTCTAGCCGTGGCTCTGCAGAGGGGGCGGAAATATTCGTGTCCCTTTCGTTTCAAATGTTCGATGGGTGCCGCCAGCTCCATGGGGAGTGGTTTGAATCGGCCACTCGGCAGATGTAAAATCCATCTTACGAGGGGCGGACAAACCAGGCCCCCCGTATTTAAGTTTTTTAATCGACAGTATTTTATTTTTATGGATTCTAAATGGCAAAAAATTAACAACGTGAATTACACTATCCACTAGTTTAAGGGATTTTACGTACCTTTTAAAGAGGGCAGAAATATAAACTATTTTAAACTTAGGATATCTGACCAAATACAATCTATTAAGTAGGCTTATATAGCCTACTGAGCTATATAGATATTTTAATAAGCGACCTGGCCACAAATAAAAGCTCAATGAAGTGGATTATCATGTGGAAGTTGATAGCAACCAAATACTTTAAACGCATGTGTCTAAATGTGGAGGGGAAAACCGGTGGACCTGCAAAATAATCCACGCAACTCCAAATATGCAAACTTCACATATCCAGGGGTCAGAATAAAACCCACGACCTCCTGTATACCAGACGAGGTAGTTAATATCTCGCCAGCGTGCTGCCCCTATATAAAATAGCGATAAGCTAATGATTAAGTGGCATGCCGCCCAAACACCCGATACAGACCAGCTGCCACTGCGAAAGTTGGCCAGTTGTGTTCAGCTGCCCAACTTTCACATCATCATATGTGCCCGGCCGACTTTGAAAGCCACCTTTCTAAATGCATGTATTACTTATCAGCCTGTCTACGACGCTTTTGATGTTTGTACGTGGGTGTGTTTTGCATAGCCATGAATGTTTTATAGTCTCGGGGATGTTTTAATAGGCTTTGATCTCCGGATAGAAATGGCTTGCTCATACCTCGCAGCTCATTATCAATCTCCATTCAGATGCAAATGAAGAACATTCTAATTATGCACTTGCAGTGAATTGTGTGCATATACTCCCTGAGGAATTGGTCACATTTTCCTCCCCAAGCGAGACTGTCTTGAAAATTGACTTAATGTTTTGTTTCCGCTACGGGAACGAAATTAATCGTCAATCGCCACTACGAACGGCCTCGAATGAACGATACACATTTTACAATGTTTGACAACTACAGTAACCACGAGACCGCTTCTCTGGTCTGCATAATAATAATAATAATCCCAAAATCGCTTAAAACCTCTGTCCGACATCCGTTCTTGAAAAGTGCGGAATCGGTATCTCTCATTGAATGAAGAATTGACAATCAAGCACACAATGACAACTCAGTCAGGCGGTGTGCGGTCTGTCGTGTCGTGTATCTTTTTAAATCCTTTATATTAAGTTCACTTGCTTGCTTGCTTGCGCGCTTACGACCGTGCAAATCTTTCGGTCGTTTTTTAACCCACTTCCCGCGATCCAATCGAGCTGACATTTTGCACACAGACTCGTTGTGCGTGACAATTTCTTTTCGTGAAAAAAAAATTCCAAAATTTTACACTTTTTAGGAAAAAATAAATTATATTTAATTACCAATTGCTTAATGGTGGCAGGCAATCATCTGACCCATAGGTGGCAGCCGTCTCAAGCCAGAGGACGAGAGGACTCTAGCCGCCACGCATATAAAGGATTTATAGTGAAAAGCTTAGTTTTTACGGGTTAATTTTTTGAACTATATCCTCTTTCATGCACTGAAGGCACGAGTTGATCTCGACATCGAGCATTCAAGCTCATGAACACATCGCCATGCTCGAGAATAGAATCTCGTGGTAGGATAACGATTAGCGGCACTGCGATACGGACCTGGTGACCCGAGGGTTCGATTCTCGCTCATGACTAATAACAATTGAGAACAGTAGTAGTAAGTTTTTTACCCTTTCAACTGGTACAAAGCTGACACCTTTATATACAAGGCATCATGTTTGCAATAACCACAACACAAGCAGTCAAAATGCAAACAAAAAGAAACAACTCTGATAATGATATGCACTGTCCTTGAAGTTGATTGGTCCACACCCGAGACAGCTTTTCTTAGAGCCTAGTCTCCACTGGTGTTGGACCAGATGACGCCAAAAGGCGTACAACTCAAAAACAGTGCACCATCAGAGTATTGAGAGCTCGGGGTAGAGTAACAATTGAGAACATTTGAACCGGTACTGGGCCTCCCCTAGGCCGACTCAGACTCGGATGAGTACAGTACCGGGTATGGTATCGCCGCTGGGGAGACAAAGGCGGCTGGGCATGGTAGTTGGCCCCCCTCTTGCGCCGTTCTGGCCTTCAAAGGTGATCGCTTACAGCACTTGTCCCAATAATCTGTCGTGGCTCTACAGAGGATCATTGCGTTTGCACATAGACACACACACACATGGCAAACGGCAGCGTGGTGCTTAGCGCACTGCACTCCGAACCCGGCGACCCGAGTTCGAACCCCACTCACGGCCAACCAACACCAGTGACAATTATCTGAACCGGTCCTGTGCCTCCCCTAGGTCGACTCAGCCTCAAATGAGTACCTGGCGCAGTGTGTAAACATCGCCACAGGGGAGACAAGGGTGGCCAGGCGTGGTGCTGGCCACCCACCACCTCGTCTGCCATGCCGACTTTCATTAGTGCTCGCCAACAGCGCTTGCCACCACAGCCTGGCGAAGACGATATGCGGGGGGGGGGGGTAATCTTTGTCTCATGTACACACAAGCGCACACGTGTGTGTACATGATACGCACGTGTGTGTGTGTACATGATACACACGCGTGTGTGTGTGTACATGATACACACGCGTGTGTGTGTGTGTGTACATGATACACACGCGTGTGTGTGTGTGTACATGATACACACGTGTGTGTGTGTACATGATACACACGTGTGTGCGTGTGTACATGATACACACGTGTGCGTGTGTGTGTACATGAGACACACGTGTGTGTGTGTGTGTACATGAGACACACGTGTGTGTGTGTACATGATGCACACACGCGTGTGTGTGTACATGAGACACACACGTGCGCGCGTGTGTGAGTGTGCATGCGTTGTGTCACAGAAAACCGTGCCCAGCCCAGGCATTCCGGAATGCGTTCACTCTTCGCTGACGCGCGCGCATTTTCCGCCTCCACCACCACCACCGCCACCGTCACGCAGCCACACATCCCTCCTCGAGACGCCGAGACTCGAAGAGGAGGAGGAGGAGGGGCCCCGAGACTTCCCAGCCCCTCGCTCAGCCTCCCCGCTCGGCGTCGCCGGGGCTTTGCGCGAATTTCGCACCGCGCTTCGCGGACAGCCAACTTACTCGGGTCCGTTGACGCTCGAAGGGGGTAGTGGTGGTGGTGACTTTGCACGGGGACCGGGGGATGTGGCCCCGCGTTGTGTCGGGAGGGGCAGGGGGGGGCAGGGAGTGTGCCTGTTGTAGGGCGGTGGATGCGGGATTATTGGGTGCAAGGGGGGTTCCGTGGGTAGCTTGTTAACGCCGATAGGAAACTGCTCGTGTGTAAGGGAGTGCGTGCCAGGCTGTAGGGTGCTGTATGTGTGGATCTGTGTAGAAGTCTGGGTTCTTGGGTGTAGGGCAGCCCTGTAGGGTGCCTGGTTTGTTTAGGATTCTGCGTGTAGGGTGCTTCGCTGCACGAGTTCCCGTGCGCACGGTTTAAACTTCGAGGGTCACTTATAAATAGGCGCGCGCAGATTATCGCATGGAGCAAAAAAAGAGGGATATTATGTGCCTGTGTGAAAAGGTTACCCGGGCATAGAGTGTGCACTCAGTGCTGATCCCTGCGTGACAGGCGTATGCTGTTGAGTCCTGGGTGTTGAGCGTGGAGGGATCGGGCATAAAGGGACTTCGAGTGCGTGCGTTATAAGATCCCGGGTGTTTGCTGCCCGGTGCGCATGATAGGATGCTGGGTGTAGGAGGTCAAGCGTAGGGGTGCAAGGGCTGTGTGTGTGCGTGTGTTGTATTCTACACACCGAGTGTTGGGCGCTTGTACGTGCAGGGATTTCCCAGCGATGTCGTCGGGAGAGCGGATCGATGCTGCTGCTGCTGCGTTCAACGGGAGCGAGCGTACGTCCGTTCGGACCCCGGGAGGCAACCGCAGCAAGGAGTACTACTGGGACTTTGAGTACTACGACTATGAGCCCATCTCGTTCGAGGGACTGCGCGCTCACCGCTGTGAGTAGAAGCTTGCTTCGGTCCTTCGCGAGCCCACGGCAGGCGGCGACCCGCGATGTTTGTCGTCACCCAGAACTTCTTCTCTGAGTTGTGGTGCCGTAACTTTCAATTCTTTCGCGCGGATTATTAGCAGCGACGTACACGTGTTCATCGAGTGCGGTTTGGCCGTATACAAAAGAAGGGCGTGGGGGGGGGGGAGCCGCTAAAGAGTTGATACTTTTCGATTTAAAGCTTTCGTGACTGCAGGGATTCATCTTCTTGGTTCTTTCGGTAAAGTCACGTAGAAGGGAAGTAATAAAATAATAAAAATAAAACATAATAAAATAATTCTTATGTTTTTTTTATTAATAAAAAAATAATTATGTTTATTTTTATTATTTTATTACTTCCCTTCTACGTGACTTTACCGAAAGAACCAAGAAGTTGATCAGAAATCAGAATCAGAAACGGTTTTAATCGCCATGTAAGTTTGCACAAACAAGGAATTCACTATGGCGGGACGGTGCATACATTGAACAAGTAGGAATCTTAACTTATATAAAAGGTATACACTCTAACTATACTAACGTTACAAAGTATAAGTAATACCAAAGGGCTAAAATCTTTAAAATTATGAATAAGTAGACCTTACAAAATGCGAATGTAAAATGTTAATTAGCCGTATTAAGCAATCTTAAAATACAAAAATACAAATAAGAGTACACGTTGTAAGTATGGAAGGTGTAATTATGTAGATAAAATGTCATAGTAAGTGTAACAGTCATTTTAAGTGTAAAAGTCATTTTAAGCCCTTGGCCTTGTTGAGGAGGCCAACAGCAGATGGGAAAAAACTGTTTTTATGACGTGAGGTTTTGGTCTTGATGGACCGCAGCCTTCTGCCGGAGGGGAGTAGCTGGAACAGAGAGTATCCAGGGTGCGAGGAATCGTCCGCAATCTTCCTCGCTCGCTTCAGGGTCCTCAAAGTGTGCAGGTCCTCAAGGGTTGGTAGATTACAGCCAATCACCTTCTCAGCAGTGCGGATGATACGCTGCAGTCTGCTCTTGTCCTTGGCAGTTGCAGCAGCGTACCAGACGGTATCAATTGCCCCTGTCGGAAACGTGGACTATGTATCTGCATTGTCCGTGAGTCATATGGCGCACAGCCCATGCAGTGTATCGTCGCGTCTTTGCGGACTGTGTTCGTATTTGGAGAGTGGTAGGCGAGTGCGTATCGCACGCCGCTGCAAGCGCGCCCAGCCGAGTTCGATTCCCGGCCACGACAAACATCGTCGGTGGTGCAGTGCCGGATCATCCTAGTGGCTTCGGTTCAGTGATTCTGCACTTGCTCTATTACTATAGTACTATACCGCCTTCAACTTTTGTGAACGACTGGGTGTTTAAGGTTAGCGATGTGTCGTATTATCTGGCTGTATAGCAAATGTAAAAATACAATTACTTTACTATGCAAGTAAAAAAAGATTGTGTTTTAATATTTACGTGTTTAGTTATATATTAGGGCCCCTTTACAACATATGCTACAGACCCCGCGCTAGCTTAGTCCGGCACTGTGGTGGTGTAGATTTGAACCAGTTCTGGGGAGGGGCTCTATCGAGGTTGACTCGATCTTAAATGAGTGGCTGGGATAAATATGAGCACTGGGGAGAGAACGGTGGGTCAGGAAATGTTCTGGACACACCACTCGAGCAATGCCGGCCTTCATGGGTGTCACGGTGGTGTGATGTTATCTCCCTCACCTGGTATGCAGGAGGTCGGGGGTTCGATCCCGAACCTGACGCCTGCTGCTGTGTATTTGGAGTTTGCGTGTCCTCCCCGTGGTCGCGTGGATTTTTTTTTTCGCGTCCTCCGGTTTTTCCCTCCACGTGTAGAAACATGCTTTTTAGACTATTTAGATGATTTTGCTGCTATAAATATCCAAATTGATAAGCCGCTTTGTTGAGTTATCATTTGTGCCAGGTCGCTTTGTAATAATAATGTAATACTGCAGTGGGCTTTGCCTGGTAGGATGGGGATGGTTAAGTTGTGTTTGCATGTGACTGGGTGATTTGTTTACCTTTCTTGTACTTTTCAGTCCTATCGAGTTTTTGTTTTGTTTGTTGTTGTAACGTTCTCACCCGCCTCTACTGGACATCTGTGCAAAGAGCTTTAATACATATTTGATTCTGACTTGCCCCAGCAGCCTATGCAGGTTACTTTGGTGGTTATTTTTTGTTTATGTGTGTGACCAGAATACCGTGTTGCATACGGTCAATTCGTCTGTAACAGAATTACAACATATTTATATATATGTGTGTGTATATATATGAACACTTTCATCTCAATTGGGCTATCAGTATCGTGTCACGAGATAGTATCCAGGGGCATAATTTCTCACTGAAAGTAATCTCGGTCACTGTTAGGTTAATGTAGGCATGTGTGACGAGTCATAGCCAGACCTGATTGATAGCGGTGGTGTGCTGGGCATGGACACATTTGCAATGTCACTGACCAGGACAGACCCAGCTGAAATTAAACCCAGGAAGTGTCAATTCGGAACTCTCTCAGAGCATTGAAACCCCCTATCATGTTATAGGGCAGCCCACAAAACCGGATATCACAACACTACCTCTGAGGCCGCTCGAGGTGAACTCAGTCACACAACGTAGGGGGCAGAACTTTCCTATCATCTCTGCCACACAGTGAAACTGACACTAAAAATTGTCAGAGGTAGAATTTGGACAAAGGCAGTGTGGAATCAAATTAATGATAGGGTAGTTTTTGTGCAATCATTTGTGACCAGACTGATCATTTCTGTAACTCTGACCTCTCAGCCACCCGGCAATTGCGCAAATTACCACCACCATAATTTGGGCTTTATCTAAGAAACCTGCACCCTCGTTTCAACTGTCAGCAGGAGATCGAACCAGCGAGCTCAGGGTTGCACGTCCAATCTTGTGGCTATTACACCTTGGAAGCGGCAAAATGAACGCATTCCCATTAATATGTAAGTGTAGCTTCTGCGTGAATGCATCCAGATGACTCGAAACCACACACATGTCTAGAACGTTTAAGGGCGTACACCTGCTAAATGCATCGTATTGCAATCCCTCGCTATAAGTGAAAATAATTTCAGACGTTGTGTGTGCAAATCCTGAAGTGGCGTAGTCTCCCTGCCACCTGCTGTTTCCACTTCCCGTCATCGGTATACGCATGATTGGAGGTCTCTCTCTCTCTACTCTCTTCTGTCCCCATGTCTACGAAACCTTCTTTTCCTTCACTGTCATTCCCCCCCCCCCCCAGGAAATGCACGTCTCCTGCCTATGATTGATGGGTCTACCTGCCTTTATACCCTTGCCTGTCTCATTGTTTCATGGGATCGTGGCTATTACGTGATTTCTCTCATCTTACACCGCTGTATTTCTGCTTTTTCCTTGCCTCGACCTTGATATATATTTCATTATTCATTGCCCAAACCTCATTAAGTATTGCCCTTTCGTGACTGCGCGGGATCTATTGGTTCATTTACATTTTGACTGTAAGAGAAAACACCGTGCCTCTTGTATATATATACACGTGCATGCTCTCTTTCAACCCTGTACGTGAAATGTTACTGTTTGGTCCTCAGCCCCTGAAGATTCCTCTTGCCAGTGAGTCACTTCCACCACTCCACCCGACCACACGTGATATACAAAATGTGCTTTTATAGCCCCTTGCATTCCATGCGTACGTTCAAATAAAAACGAAGCCGATTAATTAGATTTGACCTCTCACCCAATTACCCACAATGCACCTTATTTAATAGAATCTCTAAAGCTAAGCAGGGATTTTTTTTTGTAGTGTTGAGCCTGGCCTTTGCTGCGACGGGTGATCACCGTGCATGACAGACGGGGCGGTCGGTGTTGTGGGCAGCAGAGGGCAGTGCGGGAAAACATCCATTGGTGTCCTGCACTTCTCCCATCGTCAACAAGCCGCAATGACCAGCGTGGTTGAAGTTACGGGTCGACTCATCCTCATGGCCTGCAAAGAGTGGGGGAGCCCTCATCCAGCAGTGGATCGAAAATGTGCCGTACGTGTCCAGTGCAATTATAATTGTCATCCATCGCTGGAACTTGAACGTACATACATGAAGGACCTTCAATGCTGTATCGGCAACTGGGGTTTGTTTTACCATGTCGGTCATTGCAGGTTGGTGAAGGAGGAATCGAACTCGGCTCATTGGGTTCATTGCAGAGGACATCAATCACTTTTTTCCATCGCTCCACCGCAATACATGGATTATTAAAAACGATGTGACGTGTTCACATTAATCATTGCATTCAGACGCTGTCGCCTCGACGGACATGGTTTTCACCTGAGGACGGCTGCTTGCGTTGTGGCCGAAACGTCGTGAGAATAATTTTATTATGTTTTATTTTTATTATTTTATTACTTCCCTTCTACGTGACTTTACCGAAAGAACCAAGAAGATTAATCATTGGATTGCATGTGCATCTGTGGAAGGTGGCGTGATACTGGCCACCCACCCCCTCGTGTGCCGTTCCGGCCTTCATAAGTGCTCGCTAACAGCGCTTGCCTCAATCTAGATTATTTGAAAGTGCATAGCTTCAGTGGCTTCCTAATATGGGAATCAAGATCGTTCGAGGTGGCCACAGAAGCGCATCCGAAAGCGCTTGATGCGGAACCCGTCTCTCTCCGGAAGTTTGCGTGATGGTCTGTGCTCCAAATTTCTACTTAAAGCTTTCGTGACTGCAGGGATTCATCTTCTTGGTTCTTTCGGTAAAGTCACGTAGAAGAGAAATAATAAAATAATAAAAATAAAACGTAATAAAATAATTCTCACGACGTTTCGGCCACAACGCAAGCAGCCGTGTTCAGGTGGAGAACAGGTCTGTCGGGAAGACAGCGTCTGAATGGTCTGTGCTCCGTGAAGACGAGGTCAGCAAGGCATCGTGGTTTATTTGTGGATGAACCCTACCCTGGAGTGCGCCTTAAGAAAATGCAGCGTCGGGTGAATTTTGTACATCG